AAGTAATTAAATAACTAGTGGCGCTGCGTAGTCGAGCAGCACTCGTAAATGCCTCTGTGACTGGCTAATTCAATTGAGTGTTCATTTAAAAAAAAAATTGGAGACAGCTGGTCCATATACAGTAGATAGGATACTTCCAGTATTCTAAAGGTTTTTGTTGTGCCACATCAAAAACAGCCGTTTTTAATACATGCGCTGCAGACCTCTTTTACTCGGAGAGAGTAAAAAGCTTTTTAGTCTCTAGAGTCTAGGGCGTAAAGTCAGTTGTAAACTTTGATTGTAATCAATGGCGTTTATTGAATTGAAACTATGTATCGATTGATTTCATCAGTTGTAACTTATTGTTGCATTCTTGTCAATAGTTCAACATATTGATGTACACAAACACAATCGTAATAGAAAAATTATCGAATCACTTACTAAACAGCTGCTTATTTGGATTAGAAAAATTGAAAACAAGCTGAAAGTTATTTTGGAAGTTATCTTTTAGATGAAAAGTATTTTTTTCTAGCTTAGTTTGTTTAATAATGTTGCAATATGATGAAAAATATAGTTAGTCACACGTGCAAAAAGTGTCCTTTCAACCCTCGCTCATTTGACTTTGAAACTTGAGCTCGGGTCAAAAAGAGTCACTCTATGCCCTAGTGATGAAATATACTATTAAAATGATACAGTAGAGTCCCGCAAACTCGGCGTAATGTGGACTGGAAGGGTGCCGAGTTTGTGAAATGCCGGGTTATCGGGAACTAGAGTTAAAAATAAGAACAATACAATTTTTAAGCTTTTTAACCGCCTTTTTTAATTAGATTTATATTATAAGTCAGTATTAAGTCATCGGATATAGTACTACAAATCCTTAGTACGAGTTACAAATGATTATACTAGAGCTGACTTGTGTCCACTGTTTAACTCGGACTCAAAAAATCACTAATTTTCTGAGCCAGGTGATGGTCGAGTTATCCAGACTGCCGGGTTATCGAGTGCCGAGTTTGCGGGACTCTACTTACTGTAATAAGGTCCGTTTTTATTTTTTGAGATAGTTTCGTCAAGCTTTTCTGTTTGAAAATTCTAAATAGACCGTTTCAACTCTCAGTATCTAAATGGCACCCTTATATAAATTACTAGAATTACTATTGTTCGGCCGCTTAGAAAGCGACCTCCTCCAGCATTAGTTTAGCATTAGCGCGCAGGTCGTTTTCTAAGCGGCCGAGCTATAATTAGCATGTTCCTGATTAACTGTGTAAATGTTATGTTTTTAGATTACAACATCAACAAACTATATTAAATACCTGGTCAAGAAAGAGGAAAGGACTTGCAGAATGAAGTTGACTCAATAGAAGAAGGATAAGAGAAGAGGTAAAAAACAATCCCACCTCACTGTAACCTCAAATGTTGAAGTCAGTTAAAAATTGTTGTTACACTTTTTCTTTATCATGAATCCATATTTCACAAAATGTTTGACAAGAAAAATCACTATGCAAACTAGTCACTAAATATCTTATCGATGAATTATTCTCCTGTAAAATTTAATACAGTATTTGAAATTTATAATCTTAGCAAATTGATGAGTTCTGTTACTGTACTGTACTTCAAAAGTGTTTAATTTTGATTTTATACTAATAAACATTGATTTTGATAACCTATGAGTATCATTTTAATATAAATACCTCCCTATATCCCTGTCACAGTATTATTTGGAAGTTTCTTGGTCATTCCACCATGAAAGGGGGCAGATGCTGAGGAGGCTGCAGTTTTGGCGGAAGCCAATGAGTAGGCTATATAATTTTTACTGAGACCTCTGTAGTTTAAAAGTAGTCTGATGCTAAAAGCACAGTCCCAACCGAGTCTCCTGCTAAAACCAGCGTTTTCCGCCAAAACTAAGGCCTCCTCATCAACTCCCGCCAAAACTCTAACCTCCTCTGCAACTCCCGCCAAAACTCTGGCTCTTCCGCCAAAATGCAGCCTCCACAGCCTCTCATGCCATTAGTGAAGTCTCTCCAGAGTCTCCCACTAAAAATGATCAGACTAAAGAGGTACTTACCTCACTTTAGGGAGGCTGGAGGATGTATTTTTCAGAAAGAGGCAGCTAAATGTATGCCAGTGAGAGAGACAGAAAGAAGGAAATGTTGGATGGAGTCAGGCAAAGTGTAAAAGGGTATGAAAAATAGTTGGTAACAATGACCAATTTAATAGTTTAATATCAGGAGGCCAGAATAGAGTAGGAGCTAGTGGCCGTGTATCCAACTGCAGACACGGCTACCGTGTATCCAACTGCAGACACGGCTACCGTGTACCCAACTGCATACACGGCAATGCCGGTTTTGTATCAGGAGGCCAGAATAGAGTAGGAGCTAGTGGACGTGTGTCCAACTGCAGACACGGCTACCGTGTACCCAACTGCATATACGGCAATGCCGGTTTTGTATCAGGAGGCCAGAATAGAGTAGGAGCTATTGGACGTGTGTCCAACTGCAGACACGGCTACCGTGTACCCAACTGCGTATACGGCAATGCCACTTTTGTATCAGGAGGCCAGAATAGAGTAGGAGCTAGTGGACGTGTGTCCAACTGCAGACACGGCTACCGTGTACCCAACTGCGTATACGGCAATGCCACTTTTGTATCAGGAGGCCAGAATAGAGTAGGAGCTAGTGGACGTGTGTCCACACGTCCACCGGTTTTTTTTTCAATTCAGTTCACTCCATTTTCTCACTCCAGTCCTCCACACTTTCTCACTCCAGTCCACCTCGGTTTATCACTCCAGTCCACTGCACTTTCTCAACCCAGTTCATTCGACTGTTTCACTTCAGTTCAGTCTACTTACTCCAGTCCACTTTTTTGCATAAATAATGGGAATGTTGGAATTGTTCTGTAAATTTACTAATGATCCCATGTTATAATGTATAATGCTATGTTATACATAGGTTCCTGTTCAGATTTTAGAAATTTGTAAGGGAATTGATTTTAGTTAGAACAGGTTTGTCATGATTTCACAAGGTTAAATCATAGATAATATATGGTTAAATGTATATAATTCTTGTATCTTGTAAACTTTACTTGTTCTGAAACAATATCACTGAGAGCTCAGTGGAAGAAAATGAAACTTTACTTTAGAATGACAAACTTTACTGGTCTATTTAGATAGCTGTTAGACTACTGCAGCATCTGGATATTAAAATATACCTTTTATTTTTTGAGACTTACTAACTCTCCTATTTTATTCTGGTTGATGGGCACAAACTTAAATAATAAGTACAACAATTCTTATGGAAATCACATTTAATAGATTTCAAGAGAACAAAAAGTAACAGAGCACATAAACTTTTGAACAGTAGTGGAAATGAGGAATGAACAACAGACAAAAGAAACCACATTCTGTGTGTATACAACCTCTTATATACAAACTTAATAAATATATTATTGCGAATATTACTATTTACAAGCCTTAAAATTAAATCTTTGGAATGATGAATGAGAAACTACTAAAATATTCAGTATAGATTTACATACAATGTTAAATGAACTAAAGAACAGATCATAACTAACTATTTAACTGTAAAAACATTTAAATATTAAAATTAAAAACGTTCACTCGTTACATGAAATAAATAATAGATTAGTGAATGAGAGATGCAATTTATGGCTAAAACAGATAAGGAGAGGAGTGACCATAGACAAAATACTTCGCAAACTGAAGACGTATATTATAAGAATGAAGATGCTTGTAAGTCTATGGTTAGTCTTCTCTAAATCCTTGTGCTGTATCAACCCAGCTAAAAATGTCATCTATAATTCTATTACGATTTTTGTAATGAATTGAGCCGTTATTTTTCTTCATTACTGAAAATGCTTTAAGTTACAGCTATATTAAAGTACAGCATAATACTTATGGATTTTTTCAAGAGCAAAACACAAATGAAGAAAACCTTTGTGTATAAATAAATTAACAATAACTAACTATAATCAAACAATGACTTTGCTTGAAATAATAAGTTAGTAAAGATTAAACAATTTTTAGCTGGTTACTCTTCTTTTAAAAGCACATTATAGGTTATTTTTACTGCAATTCTCATTCAAAATGTTCAGTCCAAAAATATTTCTGGTTTTATCATGAACTTATTAAAAATACTGTATTGCTACGCAATTTGTTCTTTTATTTAAAAATGTATACCTATATCTGTTACATTTTAAATGCTAAGCCATTTAAAATGAATAATACATAGGTAAATTAGTTAAGATTTATCTTCAACAAAGAATACTCAACAATTTACTAATGACCAATAGCAATTTTAATTTAATATTTATCGACTTTAAAATTAACAAATAGAAGGTGAAAATAAAAGTATTTCCACCGTAAGCTGTACCTTTCTTTTAGAAACAGTAATGATTACCAAGTCTTAAAAGATAAGTTTATGTAATTTTTTAAATAACTATATCAAACCTCGTATGTTCTAGGTGTAATGCCCTTTACGTTTAATACCTTAATAATACTTATTGCTTGAGTTTTCCACATTGATTGCTTCATCAAGTAAACATCAAGGCTATGAAGACCAATGTCTTATATCACAGGACAATGCGTTGTACTAATCAAGAATTTCCACCAAAAACAATAAAACACTCATAAGGCACATATAATACAAATCAATGGATAAAGCACTTGTGATAGCAAAAGATGAAAAGAACGAATATCGAATCAAAGCGGCCATTTACAATACATTATAGATTGTGCAGTCATACTAAATGTGAGTAAAGTTGCAATTAATTACACAAAACACTTAAATGTCTGAAGGAGTCCTTATCATTGACTAGCTTATCGTAAAAACATTACAATACAATGACAGATATAAAGATATCGATTTAAGTTTTTAAACTCCAGTAGAAGATTTTGAGTACAGAAAAACGTTTAACGTAATTTGACTATGGATAACATGAAGTAGACCTCTCCTTTCCAGGTTTTTTTACTGGATCGTTATTAAATTTAACTTGAATGCAACCCACAGCCAAAATGTGCAGCTCTCATTTGTTTTCTGCCTCACCAATATTCGAATCATTCTCAACCAAAAGAATGTCTGGTTGTAAACAATAGCTGTCACATTAGCTATCATCATATGAAAAACTAAATGACAATAGAACTTTGACAGTCGCACACTTTGTCTGGGGTTGGATCTAGGATATCATTAAGTAAAATCTGGCTTCTGTTTCATGAAAAAATGATAATCTACATCTGCATCAAGAATCAAAAGTAAGACTTTGTCTATACCGAAATTACACGATGAACTTTGAGGTAATACTTAAATATTGATGATAAACATAGAAAATTGTAGCTTTTTCTCAAATTACTTCTTGACACCTAGCAATTTAGCAGCATCCTCAGCAGACTTTGAAAGCAACATTTTATCGACGATAGTTTTGTCTTGGATTCCGAGGAGGTTACTGATTAAATCTGAATCCTCCTCCATCCGAGACTTAGCCCAGTGCTTGGTCAGAATGGTGTTGTAGTTGTTGTTATTATTGTTGGGTGCTGTCTCTTCGTCACTGGCTGGAGAAGTGTCCTCGGGAGCGGGGAACGAATGTTTCTTGCGATGTCGCAGCATGCTGTGCTTGAGAGTGAAGCGTCGTCTGCAGATGTCGCAAGAGAATGGTCGCTCTCCCGTGTGCGTTCGCATGTGGCGTCTTAGATCTTCGGCGGACCAGAAACGTCGCAGACAGAAGGCACACATCACCTGAACAAACAAAAAGTAGTTAATGTTTGATAATGTTGACTTGAAAATTTTTTTATAAGTGTTACGTATTGGCTATAGAATCAGAAGTAACCACTGAAATGTTTTACTTGCCTATAACAGGTTGCTTTTCATAGATTGAAAAAGAAACGCTAGGAGGAGTAAGTTATCCTCATGTCTTTAATTTAAGGATGAAAATACAAAATCCAAAATATTGAGTTAATTGGAAACAATTATCAAAGTATTAAAAAACCGTTTGAAAAAATATTCAATACTGGTAGAGCATATTTTAAACATTTTCTTGCTATGTTTTAGGGTCTTTCGCAATTAGGCCTATCTATTTATTTTTATTTCCGTTGATTATCAAGATTTAAAAAAGGTAAATAAATCACTACAATTATTTCTTAAGTGTGTGTCAACTGGTAGCTTTTCTGTATCACCTGGCTAAGGTATCCACACATTTTACTCATAAATGTATGGTTTTAACATTTAGGTATTTATATGGTGTCAGCAGAATCATTAGATATTTTTAAAAATTTTCCCTAAAATTACACATCAGAAAAAGAAACAAAAGCAAATTTTTCTTGATGAACAGTATCTGTACCATGATGACAGTAAATGCTTTTCATAGTGCATACTACAGTCAACATTTTATCAAATATACAAACCTTTCTATTGGCGTAGTCTGGAAACTTCCCCCTCAGCTGTTCCAAGTTTTCTTCTCCATTCTCTTCAGTTGGATGGTTCTCTTCTGCAGCAGCCCCCACCTCCAATGCTCCCTTCGACACCAACAGTTGGAACTCAGAGCTGTGGCTGTCTCGGATGTGATCCAACGCTTCCTGCCGCTCGGCAAAACTGCCTTCGCAAAGATGACACTTAAACGGTAAATCTGACGGGGTCGCAACAAACGTCTCTTGCTTGAAGTTATGACTTTCAGTATGACTAGGATGGATCTCTCTCAAATCTGTGATCGGCCTTTTTTCTTTCTCTTCGTCTTTCACTTCATCACAAACGTCAATCTCCTCGCTCGCACTGCCATGGCTTTCGTATCCACTCTGGTCGTTCTTGAACGCGCCTGGTTGGTGTTTGGTGGAGAGGTGTTTCTTTAGGTTGCTGAGGGTGGAGAATGTAGAGCTAGGACAGTTCTTGCACTTGTAAGGCCTTTCGGGGACGTTCCTCATGGTGTAGTTTGGTCCGTTGGGTTGTTCCGTGACAGTAGGAGGCACTTCGGTCGTCGTGGGAGTTCCTCCTCCGTGTTTGCGCAGCAAGTGACGATCACAGTTGGACTTTGTCGTGAAGAGGAGAGGACAGAAAGAACACTTGTAAGGTTTCTGACCCGTGTGTGTCAGAACGTGTCGACGGAGAGAAGAAGACCAAGGGAACTTCCTGGCGCAGTACGGACAGGAAACTCTGTTTGGAGCCATGGAGTATGCACTCTTCTTCTTCACAGCTGGAGGGTGTGTGCTGTTGTTTTCTGATTCTGACCTGTAAACAAAATTAATTTCTTAAGTGATTTTACTAATTCCAGTTTGTTATTCAAAATTGAAATGAAGAAGAACTGTATTGGGTTAGGAAAGATCCAATTATGACCATAAACTTTGGCATTTCGTCATGTTTTAAATCTGCTCGGCAGTTAAATTATTGCAATATTTTCATTGATTTTGAATTGTTTTTATTACATTAAATTAATCAGAGTGCAAAGTAATATTTAACTATGATTTACAACTATCGAGAACATTTGAACTCAATTTAACAAATACTTATTGTAAGGACAGTATTATTATCTGTTAAAATATCTCAGTAAAAAGATGAAGTGTTATTAATGCAACCTTTGTAGTTCAGCAGGTTTATACAATTCAATTTTGTTGATAGGTGGGTAATTAGACACTACACAGCTAGATGTTTAATCTGGTTTTCATCATACAAAATTTAATTTTTTAAAGTTACTGAGAATGCTTACCTGTTCTCATCGCTGCCTGAGTTGCATCCTTCACTGGCACTGCCTGCTGCTACCAACCCCTCCTCATCTTCATCACTTCCATCACCTCCAGGCTGATCTTCCTCGGAATGGAAATATTGGCGAAAGGTCTGAGTTGAAGCATTGTCAAGAAGCCTGGAGACACTTGCTAAATCTGCGCTGTCTTCTCTCATACACATCTTTTTTCTGAATGAAATTTCTTCTTCGTTCTGCTCACCATCTTGATCATCGACCTCATCATTCTTTTCTTCATCGATGACTAGATCTTCATCCTCCTCTTCTTCCATAAGTTCTTCGTTTTCATGGTCATCATTTACAGACTCTGAAGATGGATTCTTCGATTTCAGCTGGAGAGCAATAGCATTCTTCACTTCTTCTGATATACAATGTTTTCCCTCCAGGGTGAATTTATCAGCGTTGAAGTCGCTGTTGATCGAGGACTTTGAATCATCTTCAGATTTAATACTCATGTTGGGCATTCCAGATTGTGAATAATACTGACTGTGGTTGAGTAAGCTTTGAGGCACTTTAGGAACGATAGAATGATTGCGTCTGGCTGGCATTGTTATGGCATTCCTCTGTCTTTGAGACCAGTATTGTGGATGTTGTTGTTTAATGTGCCGTTCCATGTTGGACCTCAACGTGAATCTTGCAGCACAATGTTCGCAAGAGAACGGTCGCTCTGTGCGGTAACGCCTTTGTTTCTGCTTGGGAATTAAAACACCATTCTTTATGACCATTTTAACTGAAGATGAAGTTTCTTGTTTGGGTTTAGGCTGGGCCAATTTTTCTTGTAACTTAGAATGGTTTATTTCTGGGGTTCTTGTGTCTTTTTCACTTTCATGAACGGGAATTTTTTCTTTCATCGACGGGGAGAATGTTCTTTCTTCCCTAGAGTTTTCTATTCGCCAATTGTATTCTGCCATGGCTTGCTGTTGAAGAGATTGAATTCTATCAGCTGCATTCACCATTGCCAGCTGATCAAGAACGAGAGATCCACCTGATGTCAGTTGAAGACCTCTAATCAACTCTTTTTGAAGTCTTTCCTTAATTTCAACAAAATCTTGGCCGGAGTTTCCAGGGAAAAAACCTGGAGGAGGTGGTATGAAGTATGGTGGATAGGAACCATTAGGCATGACAGATGGTGTAAATGCAGGAAAAGGTCCATTGGCATTCAAATAAAATGGATGGGCATTCGCTGGATAAAACTTTGAGAGGTCTAACTTTGCCAAGGGGTTGGGTAAAACAGGATTTTCATTTTCATAAGTTGGATGAGGTGACTGAGCAGAAGTGTTTATTTTGTCTTCATTATTTGTTTCAGGAATATTTCTATGTATTGGGATTGTTTCCTTGGGTTCTATGATTGAGATCGCCCTTTTCTCTACTGGTAAGTTTGGCTTTTTTGACAAATCTTGTGGTTCTAATTCTTCTGCATTTTCAAACACTTCATTTTTACTTATTATAGGTTGTTCTCTAGGAGTAGCTTTCTTTTTACTCAAGTCTAAAACATCCATAGATAGATCCAATGGAGCATCTGTATCACTGTCGGTTTTATCTGGAGTAGTATTTGCATGGTACACTGGAATCCGCACATCATTTTCTTCTTGGGTCATGGTTCCTACGTCGAGACATTTTCTTTGTACAGTTTCATTGACAGTAATATCATTAACACTTGGAGCCTTTTGAACATAAGCAAATGGTGAAGCCTTTGGCAAGTTTGCTTTTTCAAAAACAATATTGGGTGTTTCCAAGTTTTGTTTGGTAAAACTGTGAGTATTCTCAATTTTGAAACTGTCCTTACTCTCGATGCGATTCAACTGATCTGACTCAGAGAACAGAGAACGTTTGACATCATCACGGTTTGGTTTATGATCTGCATCATTTGTTGGGTCTTCTGAAGGATGGTAAATAATTGATTTTTTCACATCTTCACGAGTCATCTTAGCGTGTCTATTTCTAAGGTGGCGTTCACAGTTTGCTTTTGTAGTGAAGGCATAATGACAAAGGGCACATTCATATGGCCTGTCCCCATTGTGTGTGCGCATGTGCCTGATCAATGCAGACTTATCTGAGCTGTAGTGCGGACACATGTTGCAGCGATAAGGCACTGGGTTTTGTCCACCACTGCTGGTCAAATGAACCCTATTATGGCCCTTCAGAGCTCTCAAGTTTGGAAAAATTGCTTTGCACAATCTACAAGGAAATTCTCCTCGCAGTTTCATTTTTCTAAACTCAGCAGCAAAACAGTCTTGCTGTTCCTCGTCAGCAATAGCTGACTCAAAAGTTCCAGCTCTAGAGCCAGAGTCTGGGGGTGTCACTTCCAAGACAGTTGGTTGAGGAGACTTTGACAAATCGTGAAGCAAACCTCCAGCAGAAGTAACGGAAATGATGCTTTGGATATCAGCCAGATCTTTACTCTCTGAATTGTTTTGGTTGAAATAAAGATCCCTCCGGAGATTTAGAGAAGTGGGAGGACAGGTCTGCGGAGGAGTATTCACAATTGATTTATTTTGTAAATCGAGTCCTGCAAAGAAGTTAAATCTTTTACGTTCCTCTTCAACATCGTCAGAACTCTCGGATACTTTGGTTTCACTCCAAGAGCCTCTTTTACCAGCGCTGCTGAGATCTGTTGGAGCTTCATCGCTGGAGGAAAAGTCGTTGTCTTGGTGGCAGCTCTCCCCCGAAGAAGCGTAGTTCTCCTGTCCACAGCCTTGTCTGTGAATATTGAGAGCAGATCCGCAAGGAAACGCTCTGCTACATTTGTCACATTGAAACCTGTGAAACATACTACTCGCCAGGTGCAAACTCTGCTCACACATCGCTCTTGCAATATGAGGGAATTTTTCACTTGAAAAATCCACAAATGTCAAGTCTTTAAATCCAATTGTTTCTTTAACATTTCCGACCGAACGATCTTTCAACTCCGAATGATGAACCATGTACCGATGGAGGTTTAATACTCTGTGGTTTTTGAAAACCAAATTACAAGGAGTACATTTTGCTACATAGTCAGGATGGCATTCTTCAATATGGGTCTCAAGCAGGTTCAGTGAAAGGAAACCTGTTTTACCACAAAAAGAACAATCAAATTTACTCTTTTCACTTTTCTTTCTCTTAGACGATCCAAAGTCGTCTTCTGTTTTCCTCTTATGTTCAGATCTGTAAGGTGAAAACTCAATGACGTTGTTGTTGTACTCTGAAGCAGTTCTAGACACCCTTCTTCTTTTTTGAGTTGTCGGCAGAGATGAAAACGATTTTGGAGATCCAAGACTCTCAGAACTAGCGTCACTGTCGTAGTTGTAAGAATCCCTGTTTTCCGAGCTGTGACTTCTCATGTGGTAATGTAGGGTCCCGATGGAGGTGAACATGGTTCCGCAAATTTTGCATTTGAATTGTTGCTCTCTTGAATGTGTCAGAATGTGCTTGTCCAGCGACGCTTCCGAAGTCATCACCTTGCAGCAGATTTGGCACACGAGGTTTTTCCCAGACGATGAGATGAAACCGAGATCCTCGGGTTTGTGTGACCTGATGTGGATGGTGAAGTCGTGAGAGGAAAAAAGCACCATGTCACACACCGGACAGCCATATTGGACATCTCCAAAGTTGTCTGCTTGCTTGGTGACAACCTGCAGACAGAAATACACTTGATTAGCAAAACAACCAGAGTATAAGATAATAACAGTAAAAACCGCTGTAGGCTACTTGAAACAACCCACATCACTCGTTAAGGGTGTATTGTAATTGATATTGTAACTGCATTGTTCAGCTGATGACCAACGACAAACCATCACCCATGATGACAAATGTTTATTTTTCTAAAATCCTACAAAGGTGATACTGTATTTAATGAAAAATCATAATCAATTTTTAGTGGCATTGAAATGAATTTTTAAATCAAAATTATCTTGATTTATTCTTTAGCTGAACAGCCAAACATCAAAGTAATATCATAGATTAAACTTTAATCTATGATAATATCTATTATACGACTATGTAATAGAACGTATTAACATGTTTAGTTATTAAGGTTTATTATTGCATTCAAACAAATTGACATCACTTATTTAAGAATTGTATTTAATTGTGAATTTTTTTTACTGTATAGACAAAACTAACTGTTGATTACTCCATTCAAACAGTTGATGCAAGTTCACTCCACTGTTTTAAACCTGTGGAGTTAAATATTTTTTTTTAAGCTTTGGGAATAATCTGCAATAAATTCTACACTATAAACTCAAGTAGTTGCAGAGGATTTTCAGTCCTGTACACATTTTCTCAAACTTACCTCTGGAGTTTGGTTTGGTTGGTTTGGAGGTTGGATGGTGTTGTTGTTAACTGGTTTATCATCATCAGTGCTATGGGTTTCTTTGGCTTGGTTTTCTTCTTTGGTGTCATGGTCGAGGGGTTTGTCTTCTGTGGCCTTCTCCATTCTTGGGACTTGCAGAGGGTTCAAAGTCATATCTGTACAGGCACAAAACATAGTATGTATTAATTTATTGTTCTAGTAGTTAAAGATTGTATAATTGTTTAGTGTAGTGAAATTGATAATTCCTATGAAAGGGACTAATGATGTTTAAACAATTATTCTGGCTTATTTAGTTCAATAGTAATACAAAAAATGCTTTCTGATCGCAGTATTTAAAAACTCTAAATAGGTGTTACAATTATCAACAATAATGATATGTTTATTGGCACAAAATGTAGATATTTATTTAAGTACTGGCGCTTCGTCACTTTCGTATCACTCTAAAACCAGTTCTTTACCGATATCTCTCTGAGCTTACATTTGGTCTTGTAACAGTTTCAAAATACAATACTTTTAATGACTTACAGGCTTATTTAATAGTAATTAGTTTTGTTTTGTCAATGTTAAAATGTTACTTACTGAAATCAAAATTGGAGTCTTGGAACTTGACTTTATCATTGACTTGGTATCAGAAATGTTTCAAATAGTTTTACCAAATAATTGAGAAAATAATTACCAAATAATTGGCAGTTGATTTTCAAAATTGGCAATCATTGGTTTTGAACCAGAGGGTAAAATATCAAAAGTTGCATGACATATCACTTACCATGAGTAGGGGCTGGGGCTGGTGAAAAGCCAGTTTCACAAGGGGTGTCCTGCATGTTTCCACCCGCAGAATCTTTAGGGGCAGAAATACAGTGTCAATCGTCCACCTGAAACAAACATAGAAATGTTTAAGATTTTTAGCTCTCAGCAAAGTTTGCTAACATTTGGATGTTTTCTACAATGATAAATGATGACAATAATTTGGATATGTCATTTATTGTGTTTTAAACCTCTAAAGTTACGGTTTCTTAGCTGCAATAATATTATTAATGTAAAATAATCAGTACCCAAACACACATTAAAATTTATGTAGCCTTTCGAGTTTTATTTATTAATTCATAAATATTCAAATTTTTGTAAGTTTTAAATCAAAGATTTAAAAAAGTTATATTATTGGTAAAACAAAAATTTTACTTTGTGAATTAGGAGGGATTCCCTGCAGTGTTATTTCTCATGCTACTCTGTGGTTACCAAGGCTACAGTACACTGTTAGAATTATTCCGTCTGTATCTGTTTTGCGTTGTCCAGATTGAAGGCGTCTACCGTTTGTATCGAGGAGAAACGAAGAACAATCTGTTCGTAACAAAAATGTCCTTATAATGTTTCATTTGATTTTATCTATTTCAACCTTTTGCTAGTTTACGTTGTCTTAGTTAATTTAGGGAACATTAAATTTATTCCAGTTATATTGTAAACATAATTTTGAATTATAGGGACTAAACATTTACGGCGGTTATTTAGAAAGCTAGAAACATTAAAATATTTCACATCACGAAAGTTCGAAATGTATCATTCTCGTAATACTAAAACATGTGGTAGACAAGTTAATAACCTGGCCAAATTTAAATTGAGGCAGATGATTAATTCAATTAGTCAAGAAATCTGTGCTCATGATTGTTAAAATTCTTTAATAACGTTTCTTGGAAACACCACTGGAGGCTGTTCTAAGAGAAAATAAACATTCTTTAGTCTCTGATAAGATGGTGACTCTTTCTAACACTTATTGAAAAATGTTATACTTTATTTATACGTAGCTACTTTCAATGACCATCAACGTACAAATAATACGTAACTTAAACACCGTTTCACCACGGACGCCATTTGAAAATAGTAAATTACAAAACCTTTGAAAAGCCAAAAATACGTTACGATCTTTATTAAAAAGCTAGAACTGAACTCCAATTCAACGACCTTGTGAACTTGTATCATTGTTGCGAGGGCTGCACCTGCCACAACGGCACCTGTCTTCAAAATACGTTACTACGCCCTCCCCCCACCCACGACCAGCAGAGTTGGCTATTTAACTGTCTCACTAATTTATTGGATGTGGAAGGGGTTTCCTGCGTAACGGACGAATAGACGATGATAAGGTTTTAATTTCCTTACACTGATGGTACATCTAAAACTCGTCTGAAAAGAAAGGGTATAAATGTATTTTTGAGGCAGTTAAGAGTCTTCCTTAGTGGAAGCCATGTTGGATTTCTTCCCCATAAGAACAATGTTAAACATTACATCATTTGTGGACACGTAACGGCGTTATTTGTTAAGATATAGCTTTGAAATTTATAATTTGTATTTTTAACATAATAGACTCGTGACTGAGGTTTTTGAATTTCGAAAATCCATTTTAATTTCCTTTCAATAATTAGCTTAATTTTAAGCTAATTAATAATCAATTATTCATTATAAAAATTAAAAATTGTGAAATGAAAAACGTCAATCTCTAGAGGACCGCAATTCCTTAAATTTAACTCCTTATCCATAATTATATGACAATTTGCTGATGAGATATTTGGACACAAAGTTAACATTGTTCTTATGGGGAAGAAATCCAACATGGCTTCCACTAAGGAAGACTCGAACACGATGGAACGAAAACACATCTGAATGAATATTTTAATGGTTTTTACTTTTTAATTAACATTATAAATTAACCGAATAAATTTGGATTATTTATCGGAAAACTAAATTATAACCAATTAGGCTACAACAAATGACGAAGTTTTTATGCAATGTAAACGGCATTACGGAAAACGTGTTTAGGCTACTAGCAGTGGATTTATAAGCAACAAAGAGACAAAGTCAAATTGACAACTAAGAACAGCATTAATTAAACTCTGCAAGTGTTTACTAGGATAAACATTTTCAAGTGATATAAGTCCATTTGTCAATAATTGTGCCACAAAATCTAAAACGATCCGAATTTACAAGTAGAATCGTAAACCAAAGATCAGATGCTTACTAGACATTATTACATCTGACTATTATACGCAATTTTCAACAAAAAAATTAACACACAATAGAATAAATAGTCTATAAATAAAACCCAAACTAAAAATAGCAAAAACAGTCAAATAACATCCCCATTAAATATCATAGTAAAACATGTCGCCACCTGATCGACTTCCAGGCCCTCCCTACTGCGTTGAAAGCGACACACTGTATTGTATTCATTGTTGTTCAACAATAACACTAGTGGGCCGTTGATGGGAACAGTCAATTGTCCGGGAGACAGCAGGGGGTGGACGCCTGGACGCCTACCCTTGTGGAAGGGGAACCACCCCAAATTGACCTCTGATGATTCTCTTAATCTCTATTACTTCCCATTTTCCCAGCCTTTGTGAGATTTGGTTGTTACTTTGAGGTTAAAGTTCTTCGGCACGCTAGTAAAAAAACGTTTGTGTGGGTGTAATTAGGTAGGAGGTTGATAGGTCGAATTTTTTACACTATACGACTACTGTATATATAGCTCGTATGTAACAATTCACGATTGAAGTTTTAGGTCATGTCTCGGTTCTAGCCTATAGCCCTACCTTTTATTGTATTCTTTAGAGGACCCCCTTTATATAGAGCCCTCCGCTGTAATCTTTATACTTAAGAGTTTCTGAATAAAAAATCTAAATATAAAGAATGTACAAAAAACAGTTAGTTTGTACACAATTAGTCTCTATAGAGCATCTTATAGTATTTTAAAATATAAGCAGTGACACACCAATTGTCAAACTACGACCAAACCGCTTACAATTCGTTACATTGTAAAATAATTAAACAGTATGGTGAGTCGAAAGTATACTGAAATAAAAACCATTGTTGGCAATCAAATTTGTTGCAGTATAATAATGAAACCAATTACACAAAACCGCCAGTGGTATTTACCGTGTCAATGAGCTATGACATTTACCGGGCGAGGGGAAGCAGGGGTGCCACCCTTGTAGCAATACACCACTAGGGGTGCCAACCATGCAGAATCACAGTATTGTTGTAAATCCCAGTGGGGCCACTACACACACACCCTATACGTGATCAACGCCTCCAATCAATCAGTTATCTTATCAGGGGTTGGCTTATAGGGTGGCAAAGTGGAGTCAATTGATACGTTGTTATGTTATAATTGATTGATTGTAATTGTTTGTAATATAAATTGGATTTATAAAATATTGAAGCCCCCATTACAATTATTGAAGTTGGCGATAGTTTTGATTGCGAAATACTGTATCTAATTTATTATGTTAATCCCGCTCTCGCTAATCCAGTACGTACGTTGTTAACACGATTTAAACAGAAAACAAATATTGAAAGACCGTTAAATTTAGAGTCAAAACAGCAAGATTTTAATTTTAGCGGCGAAGTTGTATTTTTTACTTTAAGTTTGTTATCCGTTCATTGGGCTTGAGTGCAACTCAATAATTCATTTTTCTCACCAAAGTAACATATTTACGAACATTAGTTACGTCCTTGAAAAAAAGTAAACATGATTACTGAAAGATAGTAGACAAATAATGAAAACATAAGAGGCCTATCCAGATGTTGTACGAATTCTGTAGCCTATTCACTGATTAGCAGCAACAATAATTATTTAGGATTTTACTAACGAAAACAGCTGATTTATTACATTACAACAATGGGAAAACAGCTGATCCAGTGTGTAACAGCCGAATAAAACCATACATACTATCATCAACGCTTTGGTTTGAACAAGCTATTAGTTCAAGATTGGAATCAGGTAAATGGTAAATCCCAGTTTGAAACACCTGAGTCATCTTGTTTCAGTCTAGAGTCTAGAGTCCAGACTGCACGGCGAGAGCAGGTGAGTATGAGTAGACAGAGACAGATGACTCACTGGCGTGTAAAATGACTCACGGTCTACTCTCGCACGCACACCAAACCCGCTCTTTGTCCACTCACGTCATTATGTGTATTAAATACACTTATCTAAACATGTGTTGAAGGTTATTTAATGATGTATTCTCTATTTTTAGTTTAGTAGGTACAACATTTGTCCAGGATATATAGAAGGCTGAGCAATGTGGTTCAAAAAGTTTGCAAGGTTTTTGAGTTTGGGAAGAATTTGAGAGAGGGAAATAATAGATTCTTACAATTATTCAGTGCATGGCTTATCTTGTGTAAGAAGCGACGAAATAACATTCACACTATAATAAAATCAAGGAAACAACTCCCGCGAACGAATAGCTAAAGTGATGCGAAAATATATTCTTACCCTAAATGTCACAATATTAATCATTTAACGATTTAGATACACTTATTGAAATTTAGAAATATGTTTACAATATCTTTTACATAATAATTTAAATGTTTACGTAGGAAAATCCAGCTTTTTATATTATTTTTGTTTTATGTTTTAATTTCCTAATTCCAAAATGTAAGTTTCATTATGCGTATGTCGATTTTTTTTGTCAAAGAGGAAGAAGTGCTTCACTCCTTTGTCTTCGAGTAGCAGAATGTTATGAATTTGGACTACAGGTACAGCTATCGCCGAGTATTATAAAGCCATTACAAAAGATTAATGTCAATTATTTTCTCAATTTAACAATCAAAAAAATTTCTCAATTTCAACAATTACATTTTTCTCCAGTCCAGCTGTTATTTCTCACAACTCGTCACAACAGATGACAAGCCACGCCTGTAGTAGCGTCTGTTCCTCACCTGGTTGCCTAGCAACGCCAGTTCCGCCATTGGTCACCAGAGCGCAGGCCAAGCTATTGCCTAGCGACAGAATGCGGGCGCTGTGTATTGATCACGTTTTCTTGGCAACCATAAAAACATTAGATATTATTTTAATTTGTTGTTCTGCGGTCTCCAGCCCCTC